CTGCCGCCGATCTCCATCTTCCTCTGCAGCGAATTTCCTCCATTGAATGCCCGATTCTCCCCATGAGGTTGGCTCCTCCTCTTCTGAAGCAGAGATAAAACACTCCCGGCTTCCCGATCGCTGCCAACATCTTCGTCCCGATCGTCCAAATGGCTTGCTTCTAGAGCTTCTTCGAACCGACCAGGTGTGAAAAGACGTATGGACACTTTCCATTGGATCTAAGTCTCCATCGGCACATCAAGATGTCCGCATCGCTGCCTGGCTCGTAATTGAAAAACGAACGTCTTCCAAGGCTCAACTGGTCATTCTTTGCCTTCTCTACATGCACCTCAATCATACTCATCTTTCTGTGTTACTCCTGCCCACTTGATCTTAGCGGCTTCCGATGCTCTTAGCATGACATTGAACGATAGAATTGCCAGCAACGCGTCTCGATCCCTCTCCGGACTGTCTTCTTTCATTGCCAACATTGTGATCTTCTGCACATCCTCCATAGTCACTTTCACTACTTCTTTCTTTAGCAGGCTTTCCTCTCTTCTTTTGGACTTGATGATGTCTGACACAAAAGACGCTCCGATGGCTGAAATGCCTTCATTTGCTGTTTGATAGGCAGCCGAGATCTTCGCCAAAGCACTACTCCCGATTTGCTTAGATCTGTCCAACAAGTATAACAGAAATGACTACTCGTCCATTGGAAGCTTCTTCTGAGAAATCCACGAATTTCTCTTGTCGTTCTCTGCCTTGTAAGCGGCAGCCGTGGACGTAGCTTTGGCTTCGAACGGAAACATCTTGAGTCTCTCGATGTGGTGTTTAAACCCTTCTCCTGCCTTCTGCTTGAGTTCCTCGACGAACTGTCTTTTGGCTCCTTCTGAAAATTATAGTTAATCTCTTTTCCCTCTCATTTCTCTCTTTTTCTCTTTTTCTCTCTTCCCCGGATGGGTGGGCTGGGTGACTCGTTAAAACACGTAGAATGATTTCGAAATTCGAGTTTCATGCCCGTTCGGGCATGTTCGCTTCGAGACCCGCGGCGCCCAGAAAGTGTGTGCGCCTTTAATCTCGCGCGTCCTTTTTCTCCGCTCTTCAACGAAAAACATAATATTAAACTTTTGGTTTCGGTTGTTTTTTCCAGTGATCTGTACTCAAGGTGTGGCTAACTATACGATGTTGAAAATCAAACTACACATAAAAAGTTTAATGCAAACATTGAAGATGTCCACATGGAAAAAGAATCTGGAATATGACATTTTTGTCGAAAAATGAGGCCTACCGTAAATGCTCTTATAGAAGCCCACCCTATATGCGCACTTTGAGCTCTATCTTGGTTCCTTACAAATATATCAAAGAGATTTTTACTGTAAAATTATTTATCATGTCATTGCTAACATTTTATCATTTGACTGATTTTTTATATCTCTCCTAGGAACCGAGATAAGTTGGCTCAAACTTGACCGTAAAACCTGTAATAGATTGACGACTAAAACATTTCTGATATTATGATGAACAATTTATCAGTTGGCATATTTTTCATATCTTGCCATCGAAATAAACTCGCTGCAAGTAATCGAAATAAACTCGCTGCAAGTTAAAAATAAGGGGGCTCTTCTCTTACAGGTTTTACGGTAAATTGACTCAAATTTAAAAGTTAAGGGGGTCATTCTATTAGAGTGTTTAAATTATGTTTGCAATTCAAACCTATACTACACAACACATAAACCAAATTCTGGGAAGATTCTGAAATATTAGGTTGATAAGAAAGTTTCTTTCTTTTTTGGCAAAACTTTTGATCAAATTTTTCTCAATGCGGAGGGAGCTAGATCAGTGAAAGTAACGTTCATTAGCATCAACCAGTCGGTTTGAGCCCCTATCGGGGGCTCAACCTCCTGGCTTTCGTTCACTGTATCTTACACTTGAATTTCTAAAGTCTAGATTTTCCACTTTTCCGAGTGCCTGAAACTTCCAAGTATTTCAATTTTTAAATTTTGGATTTTACTAATATGGGAATTTCTAGATAACGTAATTTCTCCAATAGAAGCCCACATCTATTTGATGCCCACCTCTGATAAAACAGACGTACTTTTTTTTTCATTTTTCTGATAATTTCTGTTAAGTCTTGTCGCTTTTTTGAGAAAAAAGATATCCGATTTTCTGAATTTCCGAGTTTCTACATGACAGAATACATGTTTCTTGAAAAGGGAATACAATTGTTTGATTTTCTAAAGTCTCGAATTTTTAACCTAAAATCCTTAATTGTCGAATTTCTGCATTTCCGAGTTTTTCCTGAAATTTTGAATTACATACATCAATATTTCTAAGCCTTTGGTTCGAGATCACAATGAAAGTATAGAAAAAATGTTGCAATATTTTTGTAGAGAAAGCTAAAATTTGAGAAAGTTCGAGACCCTCCTGGAATTTTTTGGAATATTCTTGAACTTTTCTAGAGCTTTCATGAATGTTTTGGGTCTTTTGGAGTTTTCTGGAATATTCTCGAAATTTCTGGCATTTTCTAGCCCTTTTTGAAATTTTCTAGAGTTTTCTGGATCTTTCTAGAACTTTTAGTATTTTCTAGAATGTTCTGGAATTATCTGGAATGTTCTCGAACTTTCTGTAATTTTTTGGAACTTTCTGGAATTTTCTAGCATGTTCTAGAATGTTCTGGAAATTCCTAGAATGCTCTGGAACTTTCGAGAACGTTGTGGAACTTTCTGGAATGCTCTGAAACTTTCTTGAATTTTTTGTAATTTTTTGAAATTTTCTAGAATTTTCTGGACTTTTCTGGAATTTTCTGGAACTTCCTGTAATTTTTAAAATTCTCTGGAATTTTCTAGTATGTTCTAGAATGTTTTATAATAATCTGGAAATTCCTAGAATGTTCTAGAACTTTCTAGAATGTTCTGAAACTTTCTGGAATTTTTTGTAAGTTTTTGGAATTTTCTAGAATTTTCTGGAATTTTCTAGCATGTTCTGGAATGTTCTGGACCTTTCTGGAACTTCCTGTAATTTTAAAAATTTTCTGGAATTTTCTAGTATGTTCTAGAATGTTCTAAAATAATCTGGAAATTCCTAGAATGTTCTAGAACTTTCTAGAATGTTCTGAAACTTTCTGAAATTTTTTGTAAGTTTTTGAAATTTTCTAGAATTTTCTGTAATTTTCTAGCATGTTCTAGAATGTTCTAGAATGTTCTAGAATCTTCTGAAATTTTCTGGAATTTTTAAAATTTTCTGGAATTTTCTAGTATGTTCTAGAATGTTCTAAAATAATCTGAAAATTCCTAGAATGTTCTAGAACTTTCTAGAATGTTCTGAAACTTTCTGGAATTTTCTAGAAGTTTTTGGAATTTTCTAGAATGCTCTGGTATTTTTAGCATGTTCTAGAACGTTCTGGAACTTTCTGGAATTTTCTAGAGTGTTCAGGAACTTTCTAGAATGTCCTGGAATTTTCTAGCATGTTCTAGAATATTCTAGAACTTTCTAGAATGTACTGAAAATTCCTGGAATTCTCTAGAGTGTTCTAGAGTCTTCTGAAATTTTCTAGAATGTTCTGGAACTTTCTGGAATTTTCTGAAACTTTCTGGAATTTTCTAGAATGTTCTGAAATTTTTTAGAATTTTCTGGAATGGTCTAGAATTTTGCGCATAACTTAAGAACCTTGTATTCTGTAGAAAATTACTATGACCCATTTTCAGTAGTCCACAGGATCGAAATTTATGTAATATACGAAAAAAAGGAATTAAAAAAATTGTTAAGTTTTGAAGATTTGTGCTCAATTTTATGTAGGCAACACATAGATAGGCCTGAACCGTTTTGAGAATTCCCTGAAGTTTTAGTGGGTTTCAACATAATTTTGAAATTTTCGATTCTCAACACTGTAGCTTCCCTATAAGCTAGAAGGCCCAGGACACCATGGACATGAAGCGCTCGGTAGTCCATGGCTACATACCACACACCATTATAGGAGTCCCATGCCCTTTGGAGTTATTCAAGTAAATGTCCGAGACGGACACACAGACACACACACAGAAAAGTTTCATTAGTAAGAAGTAGATAGTTGTCTGGCAACGCTCCGGTAATTTTTTGATTCCATCGGTCCAGAACGAGGAGGGCTGCGATTGAAATAGCGGGACTACTCCTTTTTTGTGTCATTTTTTCACTTAAAGTATTCTCTATCAAGATGACGTTTAAGAGTTCCAAAATATTTCTTTTCCTGAAGGGCAAGGTCCGGAGAATACGAAGAGTGCAAAATAACAATTCAGCCAAAGGTCATGAATTTATCTGATCTGATCCCTCTATTCACAAGCGATCTCGCAATGCCGCACTGGAAGCAAACTTTGGTTTTTTCTCCTCTTTTGATTAGGCTGTCAAGTTCATATTTTCTAATTATGAACTACACAATGTGCCAGTTATAGTGGTACCTTCAACTAAAACTTCCCAGTGTCCATTACTTTGACCGACCATCAAACTCATAGCATACCTATCTTTAAGGGAAATTTAGGTTCTTGGACGTCCAGAGCTAGCTATTTCTTGGCAATCAACTGAACCTTCTGCACATTGACAGAGTAACTTACGCACTTATCATTTACTGTAATTACATCATCCAGCCATTTGAACGTGTGAAGAAATGATAGGTGAAACATACCCATGTCTACATGGCGAAACATATTGTAGTCCGGAAAAACACGGTGTACGAATCAACCCAGATTTTGACTTTGCCAAGAGACTTCGATCGGTTCACAAAACTTGGTTGACTAGAGGACAATGCCTGCGACATTTTACAAATGGTTTGCAATGGATGCACCTCCCCGGTTTTTAGCAATTGATGAAGATCCGACTCACTAGGCCGTTGGCATCTTCCAAACTGAACTCTCTTGTTTGGAATTCCTCAAACAAAAGACAAATTGTAGGCGATGACGGAACATGTCCCTTATATACATCCACAATTTTCTTCCAAATACCAGCTGTTTGAAGACCGAATAAAAATAAAAATATAATCAAGTTGCCAATGTGCAGTCGGATAAGGACTAAAACAATCGCCATTTCTTCAACACGAAGAGAGATGAAAATTTGAAAATCTAGGATCTAATAGCCACTGAACACAGCTCTCTAACAAAAAAAAAATTGGTCCGCTAAACCACTTGGAGCGCCAGATATCGATCCTCGAAAACAACTCTGCCAAAAAGAAAGAAACTTTCTTATCAACCTAATAGTATACGTAGCCGCCATGTTCGTCATAGAAAATCCCAGAGGACAGTATCTTCAGACAGATTACTATCAACAACCTACTATCATATTGTTCTCTAATAAATTATCATATTTCATTCATTCAACTTCCTCGTGACTAAATATGGATTACATAAAAACTGACTTCACAATGTCACTTTCCTACTTCATCCTGAACGGTTTTCAACTGAACCCTGACTATTACGACTGTAACGTGACATCGAAACCAGTGGGACTCCGAAGGGAGTTCTGGGGCTCTTATTTCTTCTGGACCGGTATTCTCATTTTTGTAAGAGTCATCAAAAACCAATTAAATGCTTAAACTCAACATTCCAGGTTCTCTACCTCATATGTTTTATCGCAATTGCCACACATGACTTGATGAAAACACCGGCTTACAAAATTATGTTCGTCCTCGGCGTATACGATCTGTCATCTGTTTTCATGGATTCTATAGTGACTGGAATCCTGGGATTTTCCGGCGTCGCATTCTGTGATTGCCCTCGATTCATATTTGTAATCGGTGCTATTGGATATGGGTCATGGATGGGATGCTGTATCACTAGTTTAATCCTAGCTGTCATTCGAATTTGTGATGTTCGACCGAAATTGAAAATTCGAAAGTTATACAAGGGTGGTAGAATCTACATTTTTGTTGGATTATGTTGGGTGTATGGGCTGTGCGCAGCATTATTCACCAAGCCAGTCACATTCTGTTCAATGTACATGTCCTGGTTTTTTGACCCTGGTGTCGGGAAAGATCCAAAACTCTATCGGAACATCTTTCACTTCTCTAACAACTGTTCAATGGCGATTGGAACAGTGTCTCTATACGGGTATTTGGCATACATCTTCTTGAACAAAACTGGAGATTTTAATGTCACACAGTCCAGATATCAAACCAGGGTTTGTGAAAAGAAGGACCCCTTAACTGGCAACTTCAATCAGAAAATCGCTTACTGTAAGAGACAAATAATTGAACTTCCAGGTTCTCTTTCAAGCGTTCTTATTTTGCATTTTCCATCTTATCAGCTCAATAATGTACACCTATATGCAATATGTGTCAGCACCCGAGTTTTTGATTCTTATTGGACAAATCGCTTGGCAATTTGGTTCTGGCTCGGTTTGTATGGTTTACTTGACGTTAAACCGATCAATACGAAAAGCTGTTTTTCAAAAGATTCATCCCCAGATACTGGTCAAAGTTGGTTAGGCTCCTGTACAAGGGTCGTCAGACAGTCGAGCTATGGATTTGAGTGCAGTGCAAGTTGGATGACCGTGTAGGTATCTTTGATCATTGAATAATTGTGCTTGTATGTGTGGTCTGGTAATAAATTTGTTAATCTTTTATCATGTGTCTGAGATCCTGTCATGTCCCCATAGAGTATGAGAGTCTGGGACAAACAACGTATTTTTTAGGGGAACCATAAGTTCAGACGTCTGAGAAGTTTGGAATCATAGGAAAATGAGAAAATGAGGAGTGTGATTATTGTATTTGTCTGTTTTTTAATACCAGAAAATGAAATTGAATCTTTGAAAGACTGATTTTTTGTTCGTCTTCAGAAATTCCGAGATTTTGAGATTCTGAGATTTTGAGTATTGGAGATTCTGAAATTCTGAATTTCCGAGATACTGAGATTCTGAGAATCAGAGATTCTGAGATTCTGAGTTTCTGAATTTCCGAGATACTGAGATTCTGAGATTTTTCAAGTCCGCTTTTAAGTTAGTGATTTCCCTATGGGCCTGACTGGACAGGGAACAGTCTGAAAACCTCTGATCTCTACCTCTAGACAGCTCCACTATCTCATGAAAAACATTTGAGGATTCTGGTTCTCAATTATGAGCACCATCCTTGCTGGTTATAATTTATCTTTTATCTATTTTGTCCGAAATAGTTTTCAACTCAGTCCAGAATACTATGGATGTCCAGAAGATCAGTCATTATGGCCGGTGAGTACCCGAAGAGAGATTTGGGGAGCCTATTATATTTTCAGTGGAGTACAGTAGTAATACTGGTAATTGCGTTCAAGAAAAGTTATGATGGTACAAATCTTTTTTTTTCAGATGCTTTATCACATTTGTTTCATGGCCATTGCTACTAGTGATCTCAAAAAGAACGCCGCCTACAAGATGATGATGCTCCTTGCAATTTTCGATATATCTTTTCTTCTTGTTTTTTCGATTTTCACAGGGGTCATGGCATATTTCGGAATCGCATTCTGTTATTGTCCTCGTCTAAACTTTATCCTCGGGACTATTGGTATTAGAGCTTGGCTAGGTCCATGTATCAGCAGTTTCATTTTGGCGTTCATTCGAATTTGTAATAATTCGAATCTTAAACTACGCCATTTATTCAAATGGGTCCCGAATTTATTATTTCATGGCTACTTTCTGTATTTGCGCGCTAAATGTCGCGTTGCTATCTCCACTAATCATTTTTTCTCCGGCCAACATGACATGGTTGTTCAATCCAGGCGTTGGGAAAGATGTACGGTATTTTAGTACTACAGTACCCCAAAAATCGAAAAGTAGTCAACTTTGAAGTCCTGGAAAGGTAGCGCAGATTTTTTTGTTCGTCTGAAAATTTGAGAGTGTGCTTAGCAAAGTTAGAGCTTCAGTTTCTTCCAAAGTTCGCTTTTCTCCATTGAAAAGGTCTAGGCACTGTATCCAAATGAAATTGCCGTAAAACCTGTATTAAAAGGGCCCCTTTAATAGAAGGGCACCTCTAATAAAAAAGCCCTGTAATTGAAGGGCCCCTGTAATAGGAGGGCCCCCGATGGTACCTTGGAAAAATAGAAGGACCGGCTCTTCTAATACAGATTATACGGTATTCAGGAAAGTCACTATGAAAACGCTTTTCATACCTTTAACAATTGTTTTGTTGTTATTGGAACCGTTATTATGTACGGCTTTCTGGCAGGAAACATTTCACGAAATTTCCAAAACCGGAGACTCAAAAGACATTGCGAAATTCAAAACTAATGTAAGTTTCCAAAATTTAAGAGAGGAAAGTTCATTCAGCAGCATTGAAGGTTCTCCTTCAAGCCTTTCTCTTCTGCATTTTTCATTTGATGTGCTCTGTTCTGTACGTCTACATGCAATATGTGTCTCCCCCAAAGGCTTTGATAATCATTGCTCATCTCTCCTGGCAGTTCAGGACTGAATCAGTATGTATCGTGTCGTTGTGTTTAAATCGGTCCATTCGAAAAGCTGTTTTCAAAATGATTTGTCCTGAAGGATTGATGAAGGCTAAAGTTTTAAACAATCTCATTCAAACAATCTCATTGGACAGCCAGTTACACACATCTTCTCAGATTCAGATGACGTGAAGTTGTACGTTCCTTTATTTAAATTTTGTACAGATAAAATTTGTTTAAACAATTTTTTATTAACATAAATTGTATTTATTAGACATGAGGTATACAGTAAACTGTGTGATAGAACGGCAACTCATACTTTAAGCTAGAATATATCAATTTCTATTTGACATATCAAAAATGTGTCAACTTATAAAATATTGCAGACATTATCAGAAACATTTTATCAGTTGACGCATTTTTATACCTCTTATAGAAATTGAGATAATTGAGCTGCAAGAATAGGATGGCGTTCTATGAAGTTACCATTTTTTCGGGAACATTGAAGGAACGTTACATCTATCCGTTGCACAGTAACAATGAACATTCAACACTTGGGAGGCGTGATCGTACTGAAAAATACTGAATTAAACTTTTCCATGAGGACTACAAAAACCCACTTGAATGTAACAAGTGTCATTTGAGAGATCCACATCCTTGTTGGATCCCGAGTAGGTCTTCAACTTGGTTTCAGTGTCCTTGGAAATAACACAATACTTGTAATCCCCACGGACTACAGTAGCCAAATCGTTTCCCTCGTAACACTCCAGAGCATTTGAAAATTGAAGCAGAGCACATATGAGTAGGGTAGAAGTAACAAACATGATGTTCAGGACCTTAGGATTTCTGGAAAAAGAATGAGAAGTATGAAGCAAGAGCTAAAGATCGACCATGCAAAATGGGCGGAGCTTATTCGGCAAAATAAATTATTGAAAGTCTCTGAAATGCGACACTGTTAGATTCCCTAATTAGGATGACTAATCTGGAAAAAACGGATTCTGGATAGATGCGAAAATGGAATGTTTACAAGGATTCAAGGGGCGTGGCTAAACGAGCATTGGTTGTTTGTGGTTTGCGAATATCCGATTTTCGAGTTTCGCACATACAAGACGAGGATGATTAAGACAAGGAAACTGAGAAAGCAGCGGATGTGTCGAAGGATGCCATCTGGATATTTCTAAAAAAAGATCGAAACTTACAGTTGGATTTGTGGCCAAGTAACTTGGGGAACCGCGAAGCGAACGGCTGAGCTACACGGTCAGGGACGTGCAAAAACAAGATTATTGATCGAAAATTCTATAGGGACACCTCTCTCAGATGTAGATTATGAAAGAGGTGTGTGGTCCGTTCTAAATGGTCGTCTGGTTAATACACGGACCACTCAAGCTGCGCACCCCTTCCGAATTAGCTATCTTCGTGCCAGACGGATATTGGTCGGCGTGTCAAACCCCGGTCCATTCGAACCTATGTACATAGGACCTACAGTACCGCTTCATAAGATAACACAAAAACGAATTTTTCAGTTGATTTTCTGCCATTTTCAGGAATCTAGAGCTCGGCTTACAATTATTCCACCTTTTCGAAAATTTTGGAGGGTGCAAAACAGACCTAGTTCAAAAAATTTTCATTCACTGAATTTTAAAGAGTTTCCTAGTTTTTCAGCTATGTGCCGATTTCTGAAAGGCACCTTTTTTCACGTTTTCCGTACAAAAACAGTTCAAAAAGGATGTTTTTCAAAAATCGGCAAAACTAAGAATTCTCAGAAAATTCTGTAAATGCAACGTTTTCCATCTAGGTCTGTTTTACACCTTTCAAATTTTTCAAATTGATTCGAAACTTGACAGTGAAGCTCCAGACTCATGAAAATGGCCAAAAATCAACGGGAAAAATAAGTTATTGTATATTTTATAGTACGGTTTACACAAAATACTCCCCTTGATAGCTTTGAGTATTTATCAAATTTATCTTTTGTGCTATTATTTTTCCCCATTCCCAATCTCCCCATTTCCAATGGCTTTATCGAGCATTCTCGATGCCACATTAGACTAGGCTCTCATTTGTATACACGCTAGCACACCCAATCGATGCTCTTCCCCTGCTGAGCAGGGTCTACGTCTCTGCTCCCTCGTTTTCTGGAATCTTCGATCTCTAAAAAAGAGCAAGACCTCATCTGCCCACAGAAAAATGCTCTGCAAATCCGGTTATTACTAACAAGCGAGGCACAAACTCCACCTCCTTGGTCCGCGTGCTCGAAAGCTCTAACGATTGGGTCACAGAGCTCATCAAAAGTTGTTTACAAATGTGAGAAACGGTGATATGACAAAAAGTTGGAACGAAGTAAGGTCGGGACCAACTAGAAAAATGAGAAAGGCAGAGCTTCCATGAAAAACTGGTAATAAAAGATACCTCTCACGGGAGGCAATATAAATTTCCTCAAAGTGGCGAGAGGGTAGTTCCGTCAAGTCAGGGGAACTTACAGCGCTACATTTGTTTTCCAGACAGCATTTTAAACTGTTGAACTCCAAAATACGGTACATTTTATTTCTACACAGGTCCAATGTCGACCTTTGGATAGACAGATGGCTCAGGGTCTCGAGTGGTCATCCGTCTGTCTTCCACAGAGGACGGATTGGGTTGATTGGGGCCTAATGTGGCATGTTCTTATATTATTTGGTAAGGGAGAAGAGAAATACGGTAGCTAGGAAATGACAGGTTATGAAATTGTATAGCAAAAAATGAAAGTAGTCTATTTAATTGTCGTAGAAAAACTTTTGGAAGGAGCTATCAAAAAAAGGAACACCATGAAACATGAAATAGAAGGGCCCTTAACTTTCAACTTTAAGCCGATTTATCTCAGTTCTTGTCAACAATATAAAGAAGTTATCAACTGATAAAATGTCTTTCAAAGTATCAAAAACATTTTATCTGTTGACACATTTTTGATATCTTTCACAGAAAATGAGATATATGGTCTCAAAAAATGAGATATATGGTCTCAAAGCTGACGGTTTGGTGCACTTCTGTTAAAGGTTTTACGGCATATTTATGAGAATGACTTTGAGATATCAAACAATCTTCAGACAAACAGAATTTCTGCAGTTTCAACAAACAAGAAATTATTGCCAACTCATAGTACGATTTTTGGACAGATTTTGAAAAAAAACGAGTTTTGATAGGATAGAAACTACACCTATACGTACTTAAAAATACTTTAAAACGGAATTTCGAAAAAATTTCTTCATGTGCATTTGAGCGTACTTTGGATAACGAATATTGATCCGCACTAGACGGCAACCGCTTAGGTAGAATAGAAGCATTCGTCAGATAACAGTGTGATAACAAACTGTTTTTTTTATTTCTGAGGTTCTATATATCACGATTTCAAGATGAATTTTTTGTAAACGTTTTATTGAAATTTGAGCGATTACGAAATCAATCACTCTAAGAGTCCCACGTTACCAAGCGAACTAAAAGCAATGCAGGGTCCAAAAAAAGAGGCAAAGAAGGAAATAGGCACTTGAGTCATATCCCCTGACCAAATACGGCGTGATGGTCCGCCCATGACGTGTCGATTTTGGGCAGATGCAGCAAATGACCCCTTTGGTGACCCGTCCCATGACCAAGCTGTCACTATATGCGCAGGGAAAGCGGGCCATCTTAGGTTTATCGATTTTTTATTATAAAAAACATTATGTTCTTTTTTCGGCACGCTTCAGAATCTCTGAACATTTTTATTGGACATTTTTTCTGGCGGTTTATATTGCGACATTTTTGAGGAATGATCTCTCCTACCTCAATTTCTGGTCTAAATGTTCGCTAATTCCTATTTACACTTCAATAAGTTTTTTTTTTCAAAAATGTCCTTTCGTCAGCCCTTATTAGGTCGACGTATCAAGTCACCTGGGCTTCTGCTCCGCCCACCAAGCGGATCTAATGAAATGAGCCCCCGCTTAGTAATCTCATGGTGATAATGGCACCTGACTGAGTCAGCGCGCGTCTTATCTCGTTTCGGCTCATTCATATTCAACGTTCTACTGAACTATTCTATGAAAAAAATGAAGATGTCACATGTTCACAGTATTCTCTGTAGCCTTATCAATTTTCACTGTGTAAAATTGAGGACCAGTAGAATGCTGTAGACGTGTTTGACAACTCCTATTTGAAGGTAAAAGGTAATTCAAGAAAGTTTGCAGGTTTCTCGAAATTTCTCGAAAAATAAAAAAAACAAAAAGATGTTTAGGATAATGGGATTTCTGTGTGAAGAATGAGAAGTTAGAAGCTGAAGATCAAGATTTTTGAGAGATATCGGAAATCTGACTATTGCTAAAATATTTGCCATCATATTATCAACATTTTATAGTTTGGAAATGTTTGATATTTTTTATAGAACATGAGACATTTGAGCTGAAAGTGCGATTACTTGAAAAAGTTAGACCACCATTTTAAATGACCAATGGAACCCACTAGATGAATATCTGGTCATTTCTAAATCATAAAAATTAGTGGCCTAGAAAACACAACTTGAAAAGTTAGACCATCATTTGAAATACTTGTAATCCGAGCCTTTGCCGGGGAAATGAATGATGTCAAAATGATCACGAAGACCTCTCAATACAGAAGGATACCTGATTATCACTGCAAAATACCTAGCGCCATAAGCTACAAAAAATGGCAAGAGTTGGTTATGCTGTTCCCATTGCAATTTAATCCAAGATGCTAGAAACGCGCTGGGTTGGTTGTCTGGAAATCGAAATTCAAATTTATTTAAGATAAAACAATTGTTTACCGCTAGGACACATAACTTCCGGACTAGTAGTAGTTTCTGTAAAAGCTGTGCTTCGAGGTTCAAAACAATCCCTCATTTTAATAGCACTT